TCCCTGCACGGAGAAAAGCTGCTCCTTGCCCACCTCATGCCCGGCACCCCATGCTGCAGGCACTTGCAGCCCACACGGGGCTGTCCGGAGCAGGCACAGGCAGCCCCAGGTGGGCTGTGAGCGGCTGCAGCACGGGGCGCCAGCCATGGGGCAGGCGAGGGGCCACTTTTCCCTGTGCTCAGCACCAGTTTCTTCCCTGCCAGCGAGCAGGGGATCAGGGCTGTGTGCTGCCCCCTGCCTGTACCGCGGGGCTGGGGGCACTGGGTGTGAGCAGGGGAAAGCCAGTGGGAGCACAGGGCCCACACTGGTGTCCTGAGGCCAGTGACGGCAGGGCTCAGAGCAGGGTGGCAGGAGCGCGGGGTCCCAGCTGGCAGGGGCTCTATGGTGCCGGGCCAGCTCCCCGCTCCCCTGCTGGTGCAGGCCAATCTGGCTCCACAGACCCCTGCCAGCCTGTGCCCCACTTTGGGTCCCACCAGTGCTGGCCCTAAGACATGGGTCCCAAGACATTGAGACATTGGTCCCAAGATGGTGACCAGGGGGCAGGGCACCTGTCAAGGGGTGGGGCACCTGTCAAGGGTCGGGGCTACCCACGCAGCCCGGAACAGCCTACCAAAACTGGGTAAGGGGCCCTCTGCTCAAAATAATTGCCCATCCCTGACCTATATTCTCCAAGTGTGCCAGAGGGGGTATGGCAAGCAACAGGGTTGCAGTCTACCCAGAACTTCAAAGGTTCACAGAGCTCATGCAGTGAGCCAGAACAGCAACCTGGTAAGGATCTAAGTGGAAGGGAGAAGGTACCAGAGCAAATAGTCCATTATGACCAGTTAAAAGCCAGCTCTTGTGAGATGCAGAATGCCCTCACTCCCACCAACAACAGAAGCTGAAGGTGATTAGCACCTAGTAAGATCAGGCCTTTGCTTTCTAATTTCCATTTGTTATTGGTGTAAGTCGCTCTGCCCACTTTTCTTTATAGTGGCAGTTTTACAGTAATGCAAATACACTAAAAAAACACTGGAAGTGAACTGGCCTAATCCAGAGTGGAAATGTAGCCTGTTTTTTTTTTAATTTAATAATCCCAGTTTTTGCCTCTAGAAATATCAGACTGTACTTCTCTGTACAACTCTACTTTGCAAATGAAAAACACCAGCTGGATAGTCCATTGTTTTTCTGTCTTTTCAAACCTTTGGTTATTTGACATGGCATCACTGGCAATGCAATACAGCTGTATGCAGTGGCAGGTAATGTGGAAAAATGTGCTTTAAAAGAACATTCCTTTAAAATAAAAATGTATCTACCATATACTTGTTATCTGCACAAGGGGAACAAAAGGAAGTTATTCTTACCTGCTCTCAATTGCTGCACGAAACTCCTGCTGACTAATGATTTCTTTCTCCAGCTTGTCAATTTTTCTGAGAAATACATAAAAATGGATCAGACTTGATGATGGTCATAAAACATGTCCTGCTGCATATTTAAAACAAGGCATTCCTTGGTTAGTAAAAGAGCACAGCTAGAATGTGATTTTTTTACCTCATGCTTCATGGCTCAAAAAGAAGACCCAGGTGCATTCTAAAGATTTTTTTCTATGTTACCCTTTTGGTTTCAATATTCCCACCTTTTTTGTGTGGATAACAGCAAATCCCAACCATTCTCCTATGGGCACAGGGTCTGTTTGTAACTGCAACTAAATCCACAGGTGATCAAGAGCCATGCTTGGCACCTGAAAGAGCAAGGGGGCATAAGCTGCTCCTGGGACTCCAGGTACAAGTTTTAGCAGCCTGAGAGCACCAATGTCAAGGACTGTCAGAACATGGAACACTCTGGCCAAAGGCCATCACAGCTGCTAAACCTCCCAGTGGTTCCCCAACAAGGGGCATCCCCTACTGGCTGTTTAAGCCATCTTTCTGTCACCTTTAACTCTGCAGGAGAAGCACAAAATTGAAAAAAGGGAGAGGGAAGTTCTAGCCATTATGGGGTGCATATTGTTTGTCTGGTTTAATAGGGACCAAAAGCATCCAGAATGTGGCAGAATCAGGGTTTACAGAGCAACTTGCAGTAAAAATAAAAGGCAGGAAAGTCCTTCAGGGGCCCCAAAATGCTAACTATGCAATTGTTAAATAAATTAATATTGGTCATTTGCAGACAGGCAGATTCACTTTTCTGACAGCCAGGTTAACAATAATGCTCCCCTTTTAATAAGAGGGAGATAAAGGAGGGGATTTCTGCTATATTAAAAGATGCAGGTTACATTCTGGGAGTCTCACTTGTGCTTCAGTGCTGCAAAGAGACCAGCCAGGGCAGAACTTTGTGCACACAGAGAGTCCTGTGACATCAGGTGGGACTGTCTGATGGGGTCTGTGAAGTTCCACTGCTTGGAAGGAGCACTTTCTGAAACTTCACCTCTAGAGAAGACACGCTTTCTTTCATTCTGAATTTGTATGCCTGATTGATGTGAATTCTGTTTTAGTACCATTAATCATTCCAACTTACACTGCTTATAAGCATAACAGAAAGAAAAGCAAAAAAGTCAAAAGTTCCTGGACACTTACTGGAATGTGGTCAAGAGTGAAAGGAAATCAGACTGAAATAAATTTGCCAGTTTGACTTCAAGTGCAGTCACAGTGGAAGCTGAGCTGATACTCTCTTCCCAATGAAATCTACAAAGGAGAACATTTTAAAATCAGGAGTTAAATCAAATATTATTCACCCCTATTCTACTTTACCAGCACCTCCAGGTTCTTATGCTGCAGACAGATGTAGGTCAACATTTTTTTAGTGGAATAGCTTTCTGACAGAAGAAAAACATTCCCCAAGTGACTAGCAGTCCAGCTCCGTGGTCTGCCTAAGGAACTGGATGACTAACTTGCCTGGATGTGAGACTGATATCAAAGGATTCCAGAGCTGAGAAACAAACTCCACTCCAGGTGGGAAGGGAGGTTAGAGTGGTCATATCAAGCTGTAGGAAAAAAACAAGCAGGGCTTTTACAACTCAAGGTAAGCTTGCTGGTTTGGCTCCCAGGGAAAGAAAACAAAGATCTTCGTGCTTATAAAGAGTATTTGCTCTAGAAAGCATCAAGAGAAAACAAAGTGTATAGCTACACAATGCAGTGCAACGCTATATAGGTACCAGTGCCAGCTGTACACAGTACAGGATGCATCTACACGAGATGTTTGCTGCAGTTGCCTAATTAGCTCTGCAGTAAATGTCTCGGTGTCTACACGTGCGGCCCTATTAGGCCACAGAAAACTAATAAACTCTGAAGCAGGTTAGTACTTGTAAACACAAGTACTAACCTGCTGCCGAGTTGTTTTTTTTTGTATACAGCAGCAAATGTGTAGACACTGATGGGGCTGGAGAGGACATGAGGGTGCTTCAGTGCAGGGGCTGCCTCCCAGCTAGCCCCACACTGGAGTACCCTCGTGACCCAGCCAGCCCCTCTACAGCACTTTGAGCCAGATTGCAGGAGCCCTGGACTGGCAGGCTGACTCCAAGAACCACTGTAATTAAAGTGCCTCAGTGTCTCATGGATCAGTGTCCCCATGCTTTAAAATGGCAGCAGGGGTGCTTGAACTAAAGCTTGTTCAACAAGCTTTAGTTCAAGCACCCCCACCACCATTTTGAAGTGCAAGGATGCTGATAGACAAGAAAAGGGAGGCTGCTGGAACATTGTAATTGCCATACTCCAGCAGACTCAATTAATTACAGTGCATTGGAGCAGCCTCTGTGCTCATGTACAGGCACCTATACTTCCTGCCAATAGGGCAATGTTGTGCCAGGACTGAGGGACCAGACCATGACCCCAACCTAGCAAAAACACATCACCCTGGGGTTTGCCTACAGGTACAAGGGCTAAATTTCTACCCCCACCCAGTGTTCCAGCACCGGACACTTCAAATGTTTGCCCTGCATCTCAGAACATGACGGTGCATCTCTGAGCATTTACACCAACTTCAGATGAATCTGAAGTAAGAAGCAAAAAGCCCAGGTGCTTGTAACCAAGAAAATGAATAGGTCTATGAAAACACGATAAAAACAATAATAAAATCTGGTAGCTCCTTCCACTGGGCCTCCCAACACAACTTCTCTTAGCATGTAAGATCTGTAGGGCAGTGTTTCTCAACCTGTGGGTCACCAGGACCCAAAAATGGGTCGCAAGAATATATGAAAGGTTCACAAACTTTAAAAATGAATTATCCTTTAAAGGAGTAAAACATGGGAAGCTCTGGCTTTTCCCTTGCAGGCTGGCAGAGTTCCTGCCTGTGAAGGGCTGCTTGGGGGTCCCCATGCCCCACATACAGCCCCCCACCTCACACACTGGGGTGCTGGGGCCTTGGGCCAGGGGGTTGGGACTGAGGGGCACTGGGTCGGCACTGGACATTTTTGTTTACAAATGGGTTCTGGTACAAAAATGTTGAAAACCACTGATCTAGGGCACAGCCTACCTTGCACAGCACTGAGGTGACAAACAACAAGAGTGACAGTATTGGCCACATTATGTTATTGCAAATGGTAGCAAATAGAAACTTATTAAAAGGAAACAAACATAGAAAGACATTAAAAGGAAAATAGCACTAAGTGTTCCTGAAAGACCGTCACCATTTCAATCAAATTAGCACTGCATTAACAAAGTGGATGAAATTATGTATTTATTTATATATTGCTACTCTTCTAGTCACACTTTATTAATGTTCATTCAAATGTTGTGGTTGGCTTTAAAGCTTCTGTGATACTGAACTCTAACAGCAGAGGGCAGAACAGCTTTGTAAGTTTGCTCAGATTGTCAAGAAAGCCTTTCCAAAGACTTGCAGTGTGCATAGTTTTAGTGTTTATCTAAAGGGTTATTCCAGGTTACTTGTGCTGCTTGCAGATCTGACACTCAGAGGCCCTGTCCCGTGATAGGTATCTCCAGTGTTCCAAGCAGACTGCGGAAGGCATGGATCTGGCACTGCTCCCAGCTGATCTATTCAGGGGAAAAGTCATTCTGCTTCAGAAGGCCAATGCTAAAATAAACCTGTGCTTGCTGAAGAGCTGCTCAAGGAAAGTCAGCCCCTAGAAATGTGTCTCTCTCCCCCGTGCTATCATGGCCCTTGATGGTCTGTCTTCTCCCACCTCCACATAAACTGGAATCCATGCAGCACTAGGTTTAGAATAACCCCTAGCTCTGAGGGTCAACCACTAAAACAAGGTGCCCTGCCTTGGGCCAGGGGCTAATTCCTAAAACAAACAGCTGCACAAAGGAGACCTTTTCCTCTGACTGGAAGACTCATTTATTTTGGAGAGGGATAACCTGTCCTAATTCTGATGGCCACTTCTTATAGGGTAGGTTCAGGTGAAAGGGTATGCTGGTACATTGTTGGCTGCCCAGGGGGCAGGAACAATGCTCTGACAGAAATACAGCCTTTCAGCCTTTTAGTCCTTCCCAGGCTGACATAATCAACAAAGGGGAAAGCCTCCACTGCACAAAGTACTCCATAAAAATTAGGTGAGGTGTCCACAGACACACAGGGGAAGAAGCATAAGGGAGCCAGAGAGGCTGCTTTTACTTGATAAGGACATGAGTTGAAATTTCACTTTTGTCACCTTAGACTTAATTTTTACTGACAATAGGTGCAGCTCTACTAAAGCTATGTAATCAAAAGGAAAAAGCTGTAACAAATGAGCAATGATTTTATACAAACTTGTGCCTGCGATTAGAGAGAATTTTTTGTGTGATCCCTCTGTCACTGCGATCCTGGAAGTGTCTAAGAAGATCAAAGTAACTGATCCCATTCTGACTGTTTTCAAGGCCACATCTTGCCAGGAAGAGGTTAAAATGCTCCTTTTTGAGATGCATATCAAATTTCTGTAGGACTGACAGGAAAGTTTCTTTGTTCACCTTCCAAAAAAAAGTAAAATAATTTAATCAGACTTCCCTTACTAATTAAAATGAACTTCAATAAGAACAGTCTGTGATGACCTTTGTCATCTGATTCTGGCCTGGTTCCTGGTTTTAAACTGCTGAGTCAATGCTCAAGAGTCACATTCTGCCTCATTTTCTCATAATATGTGAAATCTTGATCTCATCTAAGCCAACAGAATTTTACAATTGCTTCAAAATTGTTGTAGATACTTTTCTTTCATCCAAACAAGCTGAAACACGATCACCTCTCTATAGTCTGGCTCTACAAACAGTCCACATCAGTCACCTTGGGATGTGCTCTCTCCTTCACCATGGCCCTTTTACCTCCTGCAGACTCATTCCCAGAAGAATTTTCCCCAGGAGCTGACTTTATACAGGGCAACTCACACTGTCCTGTTAGGATACAGTGGCACATCAGGAGTGGAGTCAAGGACAGAAGAGATGGGTCTGGGATGGGAGGGGATAAGCTAGCGATGCTGTGCACTGAAGATATCATAGACATCACGGCTATTCCCAGGCAGGTTGAGACAGGCCTCCTCTACATGTTATAGGTATTGCACAATTAGCTGGTTAATTGTGCAGTTAACTGTAACCAGCTACGCATTCAAAGTATAAACAGTCACACCATAAAAAGCTCCAACCAGTTATAAAGTTAGACCTTAAAAATGTGTAACTTTATAGATAGATGGTACCATCCAGCTTTAACTTGCACATGTACCAGGGTTTCTTCTGCAGTTGGGAGCCCTGTCAGCTGACCGGGCTCCCAGCTGCAGGGGTACTCCATGCCCAGCCAGGGCTGGGAGTCCCACAATTGAGGGCACTCTCAGCCCCAGCAGCTGCCAACTCTGAGTCCTGCAGCTGCAGACTCTGGGTCCTGGCAGTGCCCCACAGTTGTCCTGATGCAGAGTCCCACTGCTGCAAGTGCTGTGTCCCAGCAGCATGCCTTCTGGTGCTGAGACTCACCTGGTGTCCACCAGCTGAGAAGCATGGCTGTGATCTCCCAGTCCCAGGACTGTATGAAACCCCTGGGGCCATAGGCGGATTAATGGACGGGCCAGCTGGACACAAGCACAGGGGCCTCTACCAGTTCAGGGTCCCAGGATCCTCACCAGGAAAGTGAAAGCCGCAGTTTTAAACTCAGCACCCATTTTTGTTGTGCTGGGAGGGCCTTGGGGGCTATATCCCCACAAAATTCAACTTAGCCTCCTGCAGCCACCCCTCCAGTCCTGCCACCTGCCTGCAGAGACATGACACGGCACTCCCGGCCCGGCCCAGCTGAGCACGGCCCTCTGCATCTGTGTGACTGCATGGGACAGCTGGGTAGCAGCTCCCTGCAGGTAAGTGTAATAGGGACTGAGCAGGGAGCTAGACTGAGCCGCATGCGATTCAAGGGGCAAGATAGGAGGACGGCTCCATCTATATGATTGAGAGTGGGGGAGGAGGGAGGTCCTGTGAAGGGAAAATGTGTGTGTGCGTGTGTCTGTCTGTGCATCTGTGCATGTGTGTGCATCTGGGTGTGTGTCTGTTCCTGGCAGGGAGAGTGTGTTTGTGTCTGTGTCCATGTGCAGAGCGTGACAGTAGCGTGCACGTGCCTGTGTGTGTGCATGCCTGTGTGTGTGCATGTGTATGTGTGCATTTGGCCATAGTGGGGGCAGGGAGCATAGGCCGGGGCATTCTACTCTGTGGTCCCCAGGAGCAGATTGGGCAGAGTGGGGAATAAACCCCATCCTTGCCCCCTCTGCCTCAGGGACCATGCCATCTGGCCATGCCCCTGCCCCCGCCACTGCAGCAGCAAGGGGGGGAGCAGTAGACAGACCCCCCCAGCCTGGGTCCGTGGGGGAGATGGGATAAGTTCAACCCCCTCCTTGGCCAGTTCACTTCAGGTGGCTGCCAAGGCCACATCCCCACCGCTGGAGCAGCGAGCAATGCCTGACAGGTTCCATGCTGGTGGGACAGGGGAGAGAGGGGAAATAAACTGCTTCCTTGCCCCCTTCACCTTAGGGGGGCCAGCATCTGCCCACACCCCTGCCCCTTCTCTGCCTGCTCCGGCTAGGGAGCAAAGGGGCAAGGCCAGCCCTGCTCCACAGGAGCAGACACGCTGGCACAGGGCTTCAGAGCATGGTGGGATGCTGTGGGACTCTAGTTTAACTTAAACCAGGAAGGGATCTGGGACAGAAGTTTCATAACCCTGTTTGAGATCAATCAGTTAAGTCTGATAATATCAACCAGGTTTATCTCGAACTGGTTTCAGCCATTTTGATACTGGTTTATGTGCACTGAACTTATGTTCTGTTACAGGTTTAAACCAGTTTCTGCCCACTTAAGCCAGTTTATGTGTAACTTCTGTCCCTAGCCTAAGGGTGTTTATACACATGCTCCAGGAGTTGTGGGGGGCGGGAAGGGCGCTTTAATCAGAGCAGTTCTGAGAGCCACTTCAATTAAAGTGCCCAGAATGTCACATGTCTCAGCGTCCCTGTGCTGAAAAATGGCGGTGGGGGCGCTTTCCTTGTTGTGTTCTGTATAGAATTGGGCAGATGACATGGTATCATTGCTCATTTGGTGAGCTTTAGTTAAAGCATCTCCACCACCATGTTTCAGCATGGGGATGCTGATATACATGACACTGCAGCCTGCTGGAGCATGGTAATTACAGCACATTGGAGCAGTCTCACTTTATATGTATAGACACCCTAAGGTGCTACCCTGCTCTGTTTTAGGCTCTTGAAGTTATACCAATGTTTACACTGGCTTTTACAGCAGCCCTGAATCTAGGAGTCATAGAAGTGCCTTAAAGCCATCTCGTCTCTGCTTTCTTGGTTACTTCTCTTAGAAGAACAGATGAAAATTACACCAAATGATTTAAATAATGGCAGAATTTTTGCCCACAATAATGTACAGAGCCTGCAGGGCTCAATTGCTGTTTGGTCTTCTCTCTGTATAATCTATCTGATGAAAATGCTTGCCCTGCTTTTCAACATATCTGCTATTCAAATTGCTAGTTATTAACACCTATTAATGTCTTATTAGAAAAATATCATTGCATCCCACACACCACTTCAGCAGCACTTGCTGTGTACCTCCCTCTTTGCTGCAGTTTCACAGACAAGAAAGCATCTTACCTTGCCTGTTTTTTGTGAATCATATTTTTCAAACTCTTCTTTCATGCTTCTCGCCCCTTCTCTGAATTTATCTTTCAGCCACCTTTCTATCCCTAGGGAAGCTCTACGTTCCTGCTCCACTTTTGAAATTTCTCGGTTTTGTCCTTTGGATATGGCACAGAAAGAGAAGTTTTAATGTTATTTAATATAAATAAAATTAAGAACAGTCAATGTGGTGGCAAAGGTAACAGGGCTTTTGTGCACCAAAACTGAATAGAAGGATTCAAAAGATGAGAACACAGTCACAACTATCAGAGGTCCAGTTACTGAACAATCTTTCTCCCAAAACTCTGGAAACAGGTTGGTAGGATCTGCCCTAACAGAATGAGTGCCAGGACCCCAGTAAAACCCCTCCTGTCCCCCAGATTCAATTCTTTCTCTGAATGTGACTAAGCTTGAAATAGTTACTTGACACCTCATCTTTATAGCCTGCTGCATTGTAGTATTTTAAACATATTGTAGTCATTTTTAAATATAAAAATAAAAAGTAAACCCAAACAACTGGAGATTTGCCTCTTGAAATATCTCTATGGTATCATCAGCAGTCAACTGCCCTGCTTTTCTGATTTAGACAACTTTATCCACTAGTCCATGAACAACTGTCCCTGGAATACTGGATTGCTTACAAAATGTCCATTGTATATGCACAAGCCACAAAGTTTCACAAATTTCCCTTAAAACAAGGAATGAACAACAGTAGTAGGGAATCCAGTGCTTGTGAAGGTGGGAGACTGACAGGCCTTCAGGGCATGAGGTTGCCATTCTGTTCAATTGGTGGTCTGTGGAGGAATGCGGACCACTTCCAGGAGTTCAGCAGAACTACTTTTATAATAGTGATGAAACAGCCCTAGGTTGTCTATCTTTGATATTTCTATTTGGAGCAGAGTCCAGGATTTTTAAATACTTTCCTCTCATCCAAGCAAGCTGAAAAAGAATCACCAAACTACACCCATCTGCTTTGGTTTTTCTTTTTAAGATGTTTCTTAGGTGTAAATTCAATTCAGGGACAGATTTGCAAGTGACACCAACATTTGAGAGGCAGAAAGCAGAAAAGAGGGCACAATTAAACTACAGGATGAGCTGGGATGATAAGAACAACAGGGTATGCAGGGAACAAAGAAAGGTCCCCATTTACAGTGGAAACCCCCTACCCAGAAAGAAAAAATAATCAACAAAGATACAAAATGAGCAGGAGAATGAAAAACCATGCAGCTGCACCAACTGCATTTAAGTGAGTCTATTTTCTTTTCTCTCCAGTATAGTGGACATGAGGAATCAGGACCAGATATCTAGAATGAGAGCTGTCCCATAAGGGGATCTTTATCTTAAGATGTAGTCCACAGAATAAAGAAGTCTGAGGTCTCTAATTCTGTCATCCAAATCAGCAGCAGTGCAAGCTTCTCTACAGTGCGCTGTCCTTGTTGTGTTCTGTATAGAATTGGGCAGATGACATGGTATCATTGCACAGATAACACACATAAATGTTGACACAACGGAGCATTTAAAAACTCCCAGAAAAGCCTCTGGAGCCAAGGAGAGGCAGTGAGCATGATCTACTTGGGAAGCTACTGCTAAATAAACTACAGTGTGAATTTGAAGTGTAATAGCTGTTCCTCACTAATTCTCTGCATGGATACCCTTATACCACAATAAGAGTGCCTTGATGCAGTTTAAGTTAACTATTTCCAAAGCGCATTAAAAGGGGTACTCACATTGTGGAACAGAGTCCACATAGAAAACTAATGCGGAAGAGCTATTCCATGCTATTTCCCCATGTAGGCAACCCAACAGTTGTCTGAGGACCACCAAGATAGTCTAAGTTTTCAGAACCTGTTTAAAGTTCTATAGAAAAAGCTTAGATGTTAGTAAACAGTGAGTACAGTGGAAGATTTGTAGTCTCGATATCTTGTCCCCAGTATGAACTGTACTGAAACCAAATTCACCTTGCACAGGCTACCAAATAGCTATTAGTCAAAAGCTTTTACATTTAATTAGATTGAGCCACTGATCTAGAGGTATATACATATCTAATGCCATAAATCATTCCATTTTTATGACCCTTCTTTTTCTGTATCATTGGAAGAGATGTAAGACAAACTTTTGGGCACAAAGGTTGCTGACCATTGCTCTTAGTGACTGTTTTAATGTACATATGGAGTTAAACATAAGCCATTGTTTTGTCTGCTGTACCTTCGTTTCCAGAACTGAAGATGTGTACTTTGTGCCTGAAAGGCTTGTCTAATATCTTTTCTAACTATACATTTGGTCCAATAAAAGATACCACCAAAAACCCTTGCTTTTCACATGTTTCCTGGACCATCACAGCTATAACACCCTCACCCTACTACTTTATTTTTCTGATAGATGTGAGCATTACTATATGTTATAGATTAAATTAATTGATTTTTCTATTTATACCTGAAACTTTAGCATTGTTTGAAGATCCGTTTTGGAACTCTGCTCCTAGTTTTTTAAGAAGCAGCTCTCCCTTGAGAACTCCCATACCTTCTGTGTCATATCTGCAAAGAGCAAAGCAAGAATGCAGGGGTCAGATTTAGATCACTTTCTTAGAGAATTACCTAATGCTTCCTCCACCTCTCACCTTTCTTTGAACATCAAATATGGTAAAACATTGACAGAGTCAAGCCTACAGGTCAAGTTTTTCCCCAGCACCAAAACTGAAAAATAAAGAGCACACACTATCAAATCTACCTATTACACACTTTTATAACAGCTGATGCTACCTAGTGGTAAGACAAATAGCTTCATATTGTAACAGGCAAAATAGACTCAGTAGGTCAAATCTTGAGACCACATGGGACCTCATACTCTGCTTCTTCCACTGAGAGTACGGAGCTACAGCTGGGCTCCTGGTTTATCTTCTTAATATTGCACTTCCATGGTATCTGCCATCTGAAGACTCCAAGGGCTTCACAAATATTTAGGATTCTTTAATTAGGATCAGAATGAAAATTACAGTATAGAAGATCCTCACCAGCAGCAGACCTACTATGTGAAACAAAATGGACTGGTGACAATTCTTTTGACAAGTATTTCTATGGAAACATCAACACCATGCTGTTTTTCCTAACCCATTCATACACTTTACTATTTGCTGGATCCCTAACTGGTGACTGGCCACTGGAACATACTCTATTCAGTACCTTCTCCACAGGTAGGACCTTCCCCACCCCATCTTCTCTGAGATTTCTATGCTCAGAGCAGCTGCAGATTTAAGGTGGCTAGTGGAGTCCCTGCCTGTCCCTTTTTCTGGACTAAGTACCCAGCATTGTTTCACCCTTTACTTCTCCCCCATAACAGTATTAACATCATCCCTGCACACACACTCACAAAGCAACCACCTAACACCACATGGATGCTGGTTATTGTTTAATGGGAATAAGAAACATCTAAAATTGGCCAAGAGGAAAAAAAACCCAGAAGCAAAAGTTACCTTTGCCAAAGCTTTTCAAATTCCTCACTGCCCATGGGGAAGCCCAGCTTGCTAAGGATGTTCTTAAACTCAGGCTTCAGAATCCTCACATCACTTTCTGGGTTCTTCTGGGGTATCAGATCAGCAATATCCAGTGACCTGTTTTCAATATACAAGATTGGCCTTAACTTATTTATCCTTATGGAACTTGCCCAGTTACACAAACATTCTTCATTCTCTGGCAAGTACAAAATTATAACATTTCTGTTGAAAAGAATAGCCATATTTGGGAGTCTTCTCTACAGTTACATCATCCCCAATTGGTGGAAAAATTTGAGACAGTAATTAAGTTTTGCTCAATTTTGTTTTTTAAATCCTTAGTGAGCCTTGTTCTCTTTCTAAATGAACCTCATAAAAGGGTTCACTTTCCCTCCCTCCTAATCTCACTTTATGGTTTAGGATGCTGACAGGGTCAAACTTGATACACCTTCAGCCTCCACTCTGTAGAATCTTTGATGCTTAAAAGGAAGAACTGAAATCCAAGTATTTGAAAGCTAAAAATAGACTCTATGGCTTTCAAAATATATTGCAATAATGTATTATATATGCATCAATTATTGGAGAATTTCCATGTCCAGAGGCAAATTCCCAGCCCCCCTATTTCCCTGGAAAAATCAAGTGACTGCACATACAGAACTCCCATTTCCCTCCATTTCATCTACTGAATAAATTAGGACAATGTTTGGGAGTGGAGAAACAGAGGAGAGAAAGAAGTAGTGCCATTATCTAATAGTGCTATCAAACTATAAATGAGGATCCTGCAGCTAAGAAGCTATACTCTCTGTAGATCTAACCCATGCAGGACCTCCTCTGATTTTTTATGATATATAATAAAGAACAACAAGATTTTTCCCCCTTCTAAATAGGGGGAGAAGGCATTCTGCTTGTATTTCTTTCTTAGAAATATCCGTAAGCAGCAGTATTACTTTATGAATGAAAACTGTGTCCAGTTTCTGTCACTTTGAAATAATCTGCCATGAGGACCACTTATTTCCACCTCCCACTCCCATCATACTCCCCACGACCTGAAGAATAACTCAGTCAGACAAATTATAACTGGAAATTAGATGGATATTTCTACCAGTAAGTGTTATTAAACATTACAACACCTTACCAGGGAATGTGGTGGATTTGCCAACCCGTGATATTTTTAAATCAAGAATAGATACCTTTCTAAAAGATATGACCTAGGTCAACAATGGGACCTTGTTGTTAATATAGGAATCATTGAGTGAAGTTCTGTTGCTTCTGTTACATCAGAGGTCAGGCTAAGTGAACACAATGATCCTTCCTAGATGTGAAACCATACTGCTTATACCTTTGTTTCACTTTTTCTTTCAGTTGCCCATGAACCTGTGATGCAGTCATTGTAGGTCTATCCGTATGTCTGTGACTGACTGGATCAAACCAGGCTGGAGCCCCAGAAGTAGCAGGGTCACGGACTGCTGCATATAACTCTTCAAACTTGATAATGGTTTTGTCCTGTAACTTAAGCCTGTTCAACATAGAATCAGGAATGTTTGTTTTTACTTTATATTTTCTTCAGTCACAGAAAAGATAAAGATCATTTACAGATAGAGAGGCAGAACAAACAAATTACAACTTTCTTCCTTCTAATACAGGGGTGGGCAATTATTTTGTGTAGAGGGTTGCTTACTGAGTTTTGGCAAGCCATCGAGGGCCGCATGACAGGCAGCCCAGGGCAGATAAATATTAATTTTCTAAATTTGTAAGGGGCCCCGTGGGCCGGATGGATAGAATGGCCTGGCAGGCCGCATCTGGCCTCAGGGCCACATTTTGCCCACCCCTGTTCTAATACCATATATTGGATACAAAAGAGAAATCTAGTGGGTGTCAATTACTTACATACTAGTATTTGTATTAACTGCACTATAATTAGTTAATATGAATTCTACTAAGCTAATGATTATCATGCTGATTATTTACAGTGACTCAGCTCCATGACAGAGAAGCCTATACTCTAAGCTTCCCAAAGAAACAAAAATCTAATTCAGCCTCTTACATAAAAAACCATGGATAAAGGTCAGCAAAATTTAGATAGTAAGACTGGAAAATAATAAAAAGTTTTTAAAGATGACTGTCCCCCAAGGACTAACTCTGTACTTGAAACTCCAAGCTTAGCTTAGCTGATTAATACCGTACAGCAGTGGTGCTGAACCTATGGTCCATGGGCCCATGGAGCCATGTCTTCCAGCCAGTCAGGCTCCTGGTGGAAATTAGCACTCCTCAGGTCCCATGAGCCACACCTGACTACAGAATAGCCCAGCAAGCTGGATCTAATTCAGCATGCAGGGTTGTGTCATCTGGCCTATGGAGCTCCTCATGGGTCACAGAGTTATAAAGAAGTAGGGCTGAAAGGGACCTCCAGGGGTCATCTAATCCACCCCACTGCCTGAGGCAGGATCATCCCTATTCAGGCCATCCCATACAACCATAATCTAAACTCTACATAAGACTACTATCAAGCCGGACACAATATAGACCTAACCCCCTAACCTGCCACAGGTAAAGCAGGGGAGCCACAGCAGCTAATGTCCTGATTCTATGAAATGTTGACAACATACACTGAAGAGGTCCCAAGTCGAGGTCCCTTTCAGGCCTACTTCTCTATGACTCTGACACAACCATGTAGGCAAAACTTTATAGTGCAGCCTTGGTTTCTATTTGCTCTTTTCTGGCAAAGTACAGAAAAGTAGTATTTCTTTAAATTATGTCTAACTAACAGAATTTTAAATATTATATATAAAGCTCCTCAAGTTATGAATCTGTGAATAGAAGGAAATTGTATCAACCACTGACAAATATAAATTTGCTCAGTCAGTTGTAATGGTAAATATGCCTGAAATTTTATCAAGAGTAACATGGCTATTACTGTGCTATGATGATTGCTGGAAGCTGATAAGGCAGTGATATTCACACAAAGAACCTATTATTGTTAACATAATATAAATATATTATTTCTCAGTAACTATGTAATTATTTTGTTTCAGTGAAGGAAGATAAGTCTGAGCAAACTATTAGGAAAAACTTCGCAGGGTGTATTCTTCTCTCACTTACTCTAATTTTCCACCAATATTACACCACTAGATCACAGGAGTAATTCATGATTTATGGAGTATTGATGGTTAGACTTGTCATCCATCAGTCTGGCACAATAAAATCAAATCAACCCTGCACTGTGCAGGAAGATGGTTAGAGAACCAACACAGTCCCATGGCAACCTAGAGGAGCCCATGAAGAAGTAACAGTTTGAAGGACTGGCATCAGGAAAGCTACTTTAAATACTTGTCTTTTAAAGATAAAACTGAGCTTTCAGAATGTAAAAGCATATGTATATTCTAGATCATGCAATTTAGGAGTGTCTCTCTATTTTACACTTAAATAAACCACATTTTTCTAGTTTGAAACACAGACAGAAGCATTATACAAAGAATAAATATTATTGATTGTGATGCATTACAAAGTATTATGAACAGTTTACAAGCCTTTTTCTGGCTTCTTTAGCTTTCATTTGCTCACATACCTTACAAGAAGTTGCTGATACTGCTTGGAGCTGATACACCTCCCCAGAAATTTGATCAGCATCATGAGAAGCACATCTCTATGAATAAAAAAAAATATGCATTATATTCATAGAGTGATTATATTCATTCCATCTCTGTACAGTGAACAAAGAAAAAAATGAAGTACTATCAGTGTGGTAAACAGGAAAAGGGGGGAGGGGGAGAAAAGAGACAGAAAGAGACAGAAAAAAATGTAGAGTATTTTATGGTATTAAATACATGGGAAGGGACACATGGGTTTGCCTGGTTACTTATTGATACACATGCATATGCCAAAGCCAAGTATCAAGTGCTGCATAATGATACAGAAATACAAACTCCTTTGTAAGGTACATACCTATTGACCTGCCCTTTGCCTTCAGGGTCATTGTTTTTGAAGAGTTGTCTCATAGGAAAATACCCTCCAGATCTCATTTTCTCACACAAAAGGTGCTCCAGCTAGAAAATATAAGAGTTCAGTAGCAATTATGCAAATGTCATGTGCATGTCTAACATGCACTTCTTATTCATTTTCCCCCTAAATAAGAATTGAAAATCAGCCATCACATAAAAGATGGTAAGATTTCAGAAAGGAAAATCTAATTCACAATGCAATGATGTATTTTTGGTAACCAACTACTTTCTATAACAATATTCTGTTCAACTGTAAAACTGGCTTTCAAACAGTGTTGAATGTTTGCATTGAGGGACGTTTATTGGTATTGCCAGAATAAATATGAGCTTTGCTTTCTCTTTTATCACTGAACCACGTGTTGCCAGGTTACATTTTTGAGAAAACCCTTGTAGCTATGAGCCTAATTCTGATGCCTTTATTGGTTCCTATTCAGATAAAATTTCCATTGTCTTCAGTGGGACTTTTAAATAATGATCAAGTCAGGACTCCATTCAATAAGGGTAAACTAGTTTTGGAATACTGATGAAAGCACCTGTGCAACATTTCAGAATTCAATTAATACTTTGGAAGATGTTGCTTGGTAACTAATTGTACAGTTATTCCACCTACTGTTTTCTGCTTGATTGAGACCTTTTAAAAACTATGTATTACAAGACTTGAGCTAAACTTTACTGGGGAACTTGTTAAAATTGGAAACTACAGTATGAAGAAAACCATTTTAATAGCCCACTTGGCTTTCAGGGCAAAATAGGGAGCTGTAGGTGCATTTCCTGTATGCCAATTCATAAGGTCGATAACACAGAATGTTAAGTAGCAATTTTACTCCATCCTTACTGATCATCTTTACTGATCTGGACAGTATGTGACTGTATGTGATGAAAACCATACCTCGTCAGCATCAGTCCTGAGCTGTGTCCCAGACTGAGACAGTAAACTTGTCCTGCTGCTGGCAAAGCTGCCTCTGCTTTCTGCTTGAGTTCCAATGTCAGCTCGTTGCCCTAGGTCATGAAAAAAATCAACTGAAAGAAAATCTGAGTTGTGTGTATAGATAGAGAGGTTTAGTAGACAGGGTGCAACACCAAGAGTTAAAAGGCCTGGGTTTTTGCCTGAGCTCTGCTACTGATTGGTTAAATAGCCTTATGGAAGCAATTGAGTTTCTTTCTGCCTTGTTTTTCTTAAATGGAGTTTAAACATATTGGGTTACATTTCTATTAATGGTAGATTGATGCAAAGTGTTAAGAAATGGTAAATCAATTATTATGGATTGTGAGAGGGCCTAAAAGGGCAATAGGTTGTTTATAACCATGGCCTGTAACAACCTACAGTGCCTTCCGCTGATGTGCTTATAGCCATCCTTAACACACTGATGTGTAATGGATGGAGTAGATGAATAGATGTTCCAAACTATTATAAATGTACCCATGATACAAACTATGGACAGATAACTGCATCCACATGACACAGTAAAATGGGCTAATTAATGTGGGGACAAGCCAATTGGCATTATCACTCAACACCATTTCCTAGCCTGCCTACACTGCCACTGCTTAGGAGGTAACCCACCAAGGAAAGCACAGCATGCTTGAGGGTGCTGTTGCTGATAAATTAGTATCATGCAAGAACAGTTCAGAGTGGCTTATTTTCAGATGTTGGCACATGTGAACCTGAGGCCCTGCTGAGGCAGCCTTTATGGCAGCATTCCCAGCTGTGAGGTGGAAGCAGTGTAGACTTGCTAGCTAGGGACAGAAGTTACACATAAACGGGCTTAAGTGATCAGAAACTCATTTAAACCTGCAACAGAACAGAAATTCATAGATTTCATAGACATTAGGGCTGGAAGGGACCTCGGAAGATCATCGAGTCCAGCCCCCTGCCCAAAGGGCAGGAAGTCAGCTGGAGTCATATGATCCCAGCAAGATAAGCATCCAGTTTGCTCTTGAAGGTGTTCAATGTAGGCGCTTGAACCACCTTCGGTGGCAGGCTGTTCCAGACCTTGGGGGCTCGGACAGTAAAGAAATTCTTCCTTATGTCCAGCCTGAAACGGTCTTGTAGTAGTTTATGACCGTTCGACCTAGTCGTCATCCCTTGGGGCGCTCTGGTGAATAAACGTTCCCCCAGATACTGGTGGTCACCCCTGATAAACTTATAGGTGGCCATCAGATCACCCCTAAGCCTGCGCTTTTCCAGGCTAAAGAGCCCCAGGGCTCTCAGCCTGTCATCGTAGGGTCTGCTTCTCTGACCTCTGATCATGCGCGTGGCTCTTCTCTGGACTCTCAAGCTTCTCCACATCCATTTTGAATTGCGGAGCCCAAAACTGGACACAGTCCTCGAGCTGCGGCCTCACCAAGGCAGAGTACAAGGGGAGAATGACGTCCCGGGATTTGCTTGAGAAGCATCTATGGATGCAAGCCACCGTTTTGGTCACTTTACTAGCCGCAGCATCGCATTGCAGGCTCATGTTCATCTTGTGGTCAATGATGACCCCCAAGTCTCTTTCTTCCATAGTGCTAGCCAGCGTACCACTGCCAAGCCTATAAGGATGCTGCAGGTTTTTCTTCCCAAGGTATATTTATGTGCAATTCAGTGCACATAAACCATTTTCAAAATGACCAAAACTGGTTTAAGATAAACCTGGTTAAATGCAATATCAGATATAACTGATTGAGGTCAAACCAGTTTATGGAACTTCTGTCCCAGACAACCTTCCTGGTTTAAGTTAACTCAGAGCCCCAAGGCCTCTGAGAGCAGGGCTGGTCCCACCCCTCTGCTCTCTAGCTGGACCAGGGGTTGGGGATGGCCAGATGCAGACTCAGCATGGCCCCCTGAGGCAAAGGGGGCAGGGAGGGGATTTATTCCCCCCTCCCTCCCCTCTCCCCCCAGGGGACCCCAGCCAGGATCTGCCTGGCCAGGGCAGAGCAGCCCTTGTCAGGCATTCTCCCACCCTCACTGCTGGAGCCGTAGGGGGCATGGCCAGCCCCAGCAGCAGCCTCAAGCGAACAGGGGATGGATGGAGGTTTAATTCCCCTCTCCCTCTCCTGTCCTACTGGCATGGACCCCAGCCAGGGTCTGCCTAGCTTCTCCACCCTGCTTGTGGCTCAGCATGGCTCAGGACCCCCAGAGTCCCCTCCCAGTCAGGGGGAAATCCTGCTGTGCTTTCCCAGCTGCCTGGACTGAAGTTTCATTTGAGGCAGCCCAGGAGAAAAGGCCAGACTGGGGGGAGGGAGGGGAGCAAAATAGCCCCAAGTCCAGGTGGGGATCAGGGAAGGGGCTCAAGTATGTCAGCACTAACACAGAGCAGAGCCACGCCAAGCCGAGCTGAGCATGCAACTGGGGAAGCAGCTTCTGCCTGGTAGCCCCTTCTACCCACTGGAGAGTCGAGCCAGGGCTGGCTCTGGCCCTGGCCCTGGCCCTGGCCCTGCCCCCACAGTGGCATGCACAGCAGAGGTTCACACCTTCAGCCCCAGCACTATTATCTATGTCCCCCAGCCTCCAGGCGCTGAGCTGGGTATACACTGATGACTCTTCCTCTACCCGGCAGTGGCAGCAGCACAACATGACAAAGGTCACAAAAGCCTTGGACACAGGTGTTGCGGTGGACATAGTCTTTCTAAACTTTAGGAAGGCCTTCGACACTGTCTCTCACCCCATCTTCATTAAAAAATTAGGTGACTGTAGTGTAGATGCCTACACAGTAAGATGGGTCACTAATTGGCTAGAGGGCCACACCCAGAGAGTGGTGGTGGACGGGTCATTTTCGACCTGGAGGGACATGGGCAGTGCGGTCCCCCAGGGCTCAGTCCTCAGGCCCCCACTGATCAATATCTTCATCGGTGACTTGGATGAGGGGGTGAAAAGCACCTTGTTCAAGTTCTCAGATGACACTTAAATGTGGGGAGAAGTGAGCATGCTAGAAGAGAGGGACAGGCTACAACTAGATCTGGACAGGTTACAGAGGTGGGCGGATGAGAATAGAATGGGATTCAGTACGGACAAGTGCAGGGTATTGCACCTGGGGAGGAAGAACCAGCATCATACGTACAGGCTGGGGAACTCCCTTCTAGGCAGCACAGAGGCAGAAAAGAATCTGGGTGTCATTATAATGCGCTGATGTGATCAACAGAGATAGGATGCAACAATCAAAACATTATTATTGATATGTGCCCTTCCTCTCCATGAAGGATTGGTTCCCTACTCTGAAGACTTAGAGGCAGATGAAACCAGAATATGAGCTAAAAGACAACAAAACCTCAGAAAGGATGGACAGCGTTCTGAGGAAAATAAGGTATTTTTCCCTCTCAACTTCAACCAGAAGCTACTAATTGCATGTATATTCATAACAAGCTCCCATCAGCAAAACTTCACAAGAGGTCAGGTGTACTAGAACGGGCTCAAGCATTGAGTTTAGAAAGTGCCTTAAGTCATCCTGTTCTCTCGCCATATCAACTGTCATTCAGATTTACAGTAGGGCAAAAACCTCTGAATTCCTCCTGTCTACAGTACTTAACCACCATAATGCTTCGTTGAACCAGGGTTAATAAATCCAAAATTAATTAACACTGCTGTTAATTAACACAGCAGTGACCAAAGCCCCGAGGTAAAATGTGTCACAGGACTTCATATCCCACTGAGTTTGTCAGGCTTATTTCCACCAATCTGAAGTCCTATCTCCAGCAGTGGGCGCACTTACAAGAGACACTTTAGTGAATGGTAATCATCACCATCTACATGTGCAGACCCTTCCTGCACAGTAAGTTGCTCTACTCCACAGTTACATTGCTACCTGCAAATGCAGGTAAGAAATTAACTGCAGAGTAGTTACCGTGCATAGATTCATAGATTCTAGAGTCGGAAAGGACCCAAGGATCATCATGTCCGACCTCCTGCCCCTGGAAGCAAAGAGGACCGAGGCCAGATGACCCCAGCCAGGTGACTATCTAGCCTCTTCTTGAAGACATCCAAGCTAGGTGATAGCACCACCTCTCTTGGAAGCCCATTTCAGATCCTGGCCACCCTTACTGTGAAAAATTTCTTCCTAATATCTAACCTAAATCCACTCTCAACTAGTTTACACCCGTTATTCCTAGTCACTCCCTGGGGTGCCCTAGTAAATAGCGCATCACCTCTTCCCCATTGACCTCCCCTAATAAGTTTATAGGCGGCCACAAGATCTCCCCTCAGCTGTCTCTTGTGAAGGCTGAAGAGATTCAGCTCTCTCAACCTCTCCCCGTAGCGTCTTTCCCGAAGGCCTCTAATCATGTGAGTGGCCCTCCTCTGGACCCTCTCCAGATTCTCCACATCCCTCTTGAAGTGCGGCACCCAAAACTGGACACAGTACTCCAACTGCGGCCTGACCAGTGCCGCATAGAGGGGGAGCATCACCTCCTTTGATCTATTAGTCATGCACCTGCTAATGCACAACAAGGTGCAATTGGTCTTGTTGATGGCCTCGTTACACTGCCGGCTCATGTTCATCTTGGAGTCAATTATGACTCCAAGATCCCTCTCTGCCTCCAAGCTGCTGA